CCCCAAAACCCCAAAACCCCAAAACCCCGAAGTTCAAATATTTCATTTAAGTTATTATTTAAGACTTAATTTAAATTAATTGACAATATTCATTAGCAATAAATTATGGTTCTTTATAGGTAGTAATATAATGACCATATATCATCATTTGACAAACTTATAATGGATGACATTCAAAATATTCTTTCTCAATTTCTTTATATAAATACTCTATGGTTAGCAGCAATGTTTCTATTGCTCATTTTTTGATTACAATCTAAAATCTGGTTAAAGTCTTTAACTTCCAGTACTCCCTTAAAATCGGGAAGTTACGCACTTTAATTTATACTCCCTGAATCATCTGATTCATTTTTTAACTCCTCCTCACCTTCATCTAGAATTTAATTTAGTGGCATATTCTTAGGGACGACCTATTTAAGTATGGCACTAAAGCTTAATTATTAACTTGATTGATTTTAGCACTTATATATGAAACTTATTAGATTTTTCGATGATATTTGAGTGATTCTATTTAGTTTATAATTAGGGATAGATTCGCTTTTATCAATAAGCCTTTTATTAAGATTCTGAGAAGATTATTGGTGCTTCATTTCCTCGTTCTCAAATAAGATTTTCTAATTATTACATGCACCGTTGTTCTTCATTTCAGCAAAAATTACATTGTTTTCTATGATCTTTTAACAATATTCTGCATCGGTTTGAAACCATTAATGCTATAATAAAATTGTTAAAATTTATGATTGTAACGTACCTAGAAACATTTCTCTGCTGATAATCTGTTCCGAGGGTCTTTTGATAGCATCTTTTTCATCAAATCAATGCCCTCTGGACTCAGTTAAATATCACTCTAATCAATTATCTCTTCTGAGTTTAATAATATATACTTACCTTTATTTGACAGATACTCCTTGGAACAAATACTTTTTTACATTTAGGAAATAAAAAATGCAGCCCAAACTAAAAATATCGCTGTTTAAGTCAAAAACATGCTATCTAATTATTTCTGGTGCCATGAATCCGGGAGTTCCACACCTTTTTTATTTCCATTGATAATCGTCATTATAGCATGCGAGACCGAAATCAATAAGTGAAATATTGAGACCTTTAGTATTTTTGATAAGAATGTTATCAGGTTTGAGATCTCTATGAATAACATTTAGTCTATGAATCATATGAACTACACCAATCAACTAGATCATCAACTTTTTTATCTATGATTCACTTAGCTTTTCATGCTTTCTTACGTAATCGAAAAGATCTCCTTTTTCACAGTAATTCATGATCAGATATACCTTATCTTCATGAATAATAACTTATTTCAGGTCAGTTATATTCTAATTTTCGTTAAATAATTTAAAAAACTGAGCTTCTCTGATGATTTATTCAAA